CCCACACCATCTCTCATTCCGTGTTGTCTTCTGTCAGCCTAGTTTGGAGAAACCCCTGTCGCGTGCCAGCTACTCTCTCCAGTCCCTTTAGTTCTCCCTGCAGCACAATATTCCCTCCCCATTCTCTCCCTCTCATTCATCCTACAAATGTTTATTAAGTTCCTCGTATGTATCAAACATAAGGGGTACCGTAAAAAATGGACAAAAATCCCTCATGAAACTTCATATTCTAATATAAGGAAAACCAGACAATAAATAATAAACACAGGAGATAAATTATATACTTATACATGTAACATACGATTTATGAATATATATATATAGTCTCAATATATACAAATTATATGTTAATTTAGAACGTAATAATGGCTTCAGAAAAATTTAGAGTAGGGTAAGGGGGCCAAGAAATGGCAGGGAAGAAGAGCAATTGTTAGAAGAGTGTACAGGACGGGCCTCCCGAAAGGTGACATCTGGACAAAGACCCAAGGGAGATGAGGGGTTGATGTGGGTTTCTGGGTGAAGAGTGTTTCCCCGAGACAGGCCCCAGGGTGGGACTGTGCATGTCAGGTTTAAAGAACAGAGGGAGGGACCAAGCGGGACAGTGCCAGGGGAGGAGCCCGAGAGGTCACGGAGGGGCTGGGAGGGGCTGGTGGGTTACGGCCAGGCCTCCGTTCTCCATTCTGAGTGAGACGGATGCACGGGAGGGCTCTGAGCACCACTGAAAGGATCGCTCTGGCTGCTGCCTAGTGGAGGTCTGCAGGGAAGCGAGGGTGGAGGTGGGTGGCCATTTGAGGAAACTGAGGTCAAAGCATCTACCTCCAGGGCCACACTGTGAATGCTGGAGTCAAAACTGGAAGCCAGGCCAACACCAGAGCCCACCCACTTTGCCCTGCACCAGCCTCCTCTCTGATGGGTGAGGCCCCTGGAGGTTGGCCGCCTTGGACCAGGGTCTGAGGGAGAGTGGGATAGGCAATGGATGGATGGCCACTGTCCCTTCCCTCTGCCCCTAATGGTCTCCCTGAGGCCCTGAATCAGGGAGGTTCTGTCTCCCCTGGGAACCGGCCCCAGGTCTGTCTGCAGGTGTGGGAGGTGTGAGGCCCCAGAAGCTGGCCCTGCTCTGGGCACTAGGGGAGCCTGGGCATGCCAGGGCATGGCTGTGGTGGCGGGTTGCTAGGTGACTCCAAGAGGGAGGCCTGGTTACTGTTGCCTGGCAGAGGCATCTCCCTCCTCTGCCACCCTCACCTCCTCTGTGGCCTCTGGCCTCCCAGGAGGCCTTGTGCGTGAGACGTGATCGGTGCCTGCCATTGGCTTGGCCCAGAGCTCTGACTGGTACCAGGTGGCTGGGCCCTGAGGAGCCAGACGAGGCTGCAGCACCCGGACTTCCCTCATGGGGCGCAGCCCTGGTGCACACCGAGTGTACAGCCCGACCCCGCAGTCACAGGACAAGGGCCTCTCACCCAGTGCTGGGCCTCCTCCCTGGGTGACCCCGGGCAAGGCGTGGCACCCATCTAGGCCTCAGCTGCCCATCCATCTGGCCTGCAGAATCCCTCCCAAAGGGAGAGTGCAAGGAGGGTGCTGAGCAGGCAGGGCTCCAGGCACCCCTGCCCTGATTCTCTGATGGCTTAAGTGTGTAACACTCAAATGTTGCCTTAGATTCCGTTTACAAAAAGTGTCACAATTTTTAAAAAAAGTCTCAAAACCTCCCCTGGCTGGTGTGGCTCAGTGGATTGAGCACCAGCCTGCAAACCAAAGGGTTGCTGGTTTGATTCCCAGTCAGGGCACGTGCCTGGGTTGTGGGCCAGGTCCCCAGTAGGGGTCTTGCAAGAAGCAACTACACATCAATGTTTCTTTCCCTCTTTTTCTCCCTCCCTTCCCTTCTGTTTAAAAATAAATAAAATCTTTAAAAAAAAAGTTTCTAAACCTCTAGGCTGGATGATTCCAAGAACTTTCATTATCAAATTGAAAAGGTCCTCAGAGTACAGTTGGCCCATCTAATCAGTTTACAGGTAGGGAAACTGAGGCCCAGAATGGAGGAGGGACTTGCCCCAGGTCAGGCTTGGTGGAGGGGAAAAGCACCAAGCTAGGGAGTGGAAGGCTTGGACTCAATCCCCAGCTCTGCCACCAGGTCCTGGGCAACTTTGGGCAAGACCTTTCTTCTCTCCGGGTCTGCTCAGCCATGGTTTCAGGCTGGAGCTCAGGCTTCCAGGGGTATCTGGCTGGGCAGGGAACAGAGCGGGGAAGGATACAAACTTCATAGACCTGGGACATTTTTAATTGTGTTCAGGAAATTTGGATGTATTATGGAGTACAAAGCAAAATTCCCTTGAATTCTAAAAAGGAAGCACAAGACTTGTAAGGAATTTTGACCTTTTAACATGCCTGCAGTCTTCCTATGCTGCCAGCTTCTAGGGATGGTTTACATGGAAAGTTTAAGAAGCACTGGAGTACTGGCTTCCTAAGGTGCTTTAGAAATTCTCCGACTCATTCCCCTCTCCCGCGGTGGCATGCGATGTCCTTTAGGCTCAGGGAGACTAACCTGAAATCAATACTTGGCTTTGCCACTTAAACTGTATGGCCTTGGCAACTTCCTTAACCTCTCTGAGCCTCACTCTCCTCATCTTGAGATAGGGCTGGCAATCCCTTTCTTGTACAGAGTTTGATAAAGTGGTTACTTGAGATAAAGTACTTATAACATCCAGGACTGAACAGGTAGTACAGAGTAGGGGCTGGTACTTGGTGATGTCCTTCCTCCTCCCCCCACCTCTGCGCACTCAGAACCAGGCTGGCACATGGTGACATTGATAAAGAGGTGTTGCCTCCCTGACCTTCAGCTGGAGAGGCTGGGAGGTGGAGCCTCTGTAAGCCAGGTAGTCCCATATGGGAGGACGGAGGCCTCGGAGGCCCCTGAACACAGGTGTGGGGGAGGGGCTGGGGAGGCAGGTGCAGGGGCGGGGGCTGGGAAAGGGGGGTATCTACTTGAGGGAGCACCGCTCCCTGGGGGTCCAGCTCCCCTTCTCTCAGAGTCCCAGGAGAAGCCAGGCAGGGCAACATTGGGAGGGGCCTTGGAGCCCCAGCTGTCACCTTCCAAGACCAGGAAGTGCCCGAGATAGGGCACCTGGGGCCTGGAAGAATCAGGTCGGTACCGGGAGCTTGGATCGAGGGAAGGTCCCCGGCCATCAGAAAGAGCCCTTCCTTGCGGACAGTGCTGGGAGGGAGGCAGGAGGGAGGGCCCTCACGGTTCGGTGCTTTCGGGGCTGGGTGGATCCAGGTCCCTGAGCTGGGCAGCTCTGGAGTGGTACCTGGCACTGCTGCCTGTGGGACCTTCGGCAAGTTACATCACGCCTCTGGGCCTGCGCTCCCTGGTGCCTCCAATGGGGTAGCGCCCGCTTTCCAGACTCGTTGGTGCCTGGCAGAGTCACACTCAGCGTGACATAAAGGAGGTAGGGACAGAGCAGGTCTGTCGGTGATCTAAGAGGTGAGGTCTCCTGGACAGAACGAGGGATTTAACTGTTTATGAGCACCTGGTGTGGTCACCAAACACCCGCACACATCTCAGGTAATAACCCAACAGCTTTCTGAGGTGGTCATTGAGTGTTACCCATTTTTTTCAAGGTAGTTCACTAAGGCACTGGGGCTCATAGAGGTTAAGTCACAGCCCACGGTCATATAGCTACGTGGCTGAAAAGAGCCAGACATCCTGACCAGCCTTCTGATAGCCAAGCTCATGCTGTTTCCACAGCAGTACCTGAGCCAGGAGGTCAAGGCCACCAGGTGGGAGGCCCCAGAGGTGGGGTGTGACAGGCCCAGCAGGTTCCTGTGAAGTCAGCCGCCCCTGGCCTTCCAGGACAGGCCCGGCAAAGGCAGGCAGTGGTATGGGGAGCACTGCAGACTGGCACAGAAGACGTTTAGAAGAGGGTATGTGCAGGGGTGGCAGAGGTGAAGCCCAGGGAAGCCCTGGGACAGCAGAAAGGTCTGTGTAGCCTTGGGCGAGCCGTTTCCCTGCTCTGCACCATGGTCTTCTCATCTCTAAATGGACATTATGCCACCTGCTTTGTGGAGATTCGTGAAGGTTTCACCAGGAAGGGACTTGGAGGGTGGGCTGTGACCCAAAAGGCAGGCAGAGAGCTGGTTTGGCTGAAGGCAGGCACTGAGCAGAAGTGGGATGGGAGATTTCCATGCCCAGGGATGTGTATTGAGGGGCTTGCTGGGATTCAAGGCTTCTGTAGAGTTCACAGAGCCTCAGAAGAGTTGGGGGAAATCTCTGCAAAGTCTCGGGCCTCTACCTGCAGCGGGCATGCCCAGCCTGTTCTGCTATCCCTGGCCAGGCCCTCCCAGCAAAGGGTTAACAGTCTTCTCTACCTGCAGTTGCATTTTAAAGACACGAAATTAAAGCAGGTAATTTATTCTCCCCACACACGAAAGAGCAATTAGTTCTAAACAGGGCTTAATCAGTCACCACGAGATTGATTTCTGGAGCCCTGGGTTTTCGGGCTCCTGGCTCCATGCCAGACTGGGGAAGGAGGGGGGCGGACAAATGAGCCACAGCGGCATGAGCCCTTACATAATCTGCTTGGGGAGGGGGGCCCTGGCAGCCTGGCTAGCCCCAAGGTGGGGCTTGGCTGGGCCAGAGAGGGGGTCTTGCTCCCCAGCTGCAGGCCCCTTAAGAGTAGCCTTCAGACTTGGCCATGCCTGTCGGGAAAAGCTAGGCCCTAAGCTCCGCCCCACCTTCTGGGCAGTGCCTGTGTGGGCGGGGGTGATGCAGTTCTGGGGTCTTGGATGGATATTCGAAGTTTGTCCAACCTGATACTTACACCTCCTCCCCTCACCCCCATCCCCTTCCCTCATCCACCCTTTCATCTTCCCTATTCCTTCCCCTTCCTCCTTTTGGCTCTTCTACCGTTCTTTTACCTTCTCCTTTCTCTATTTTCTACCCATCACTACCCCGTACTCGACCTCCTCACTTCCCACTCCCCCACCCATGTCCTTGTTTCTGGCCACAGAACTCCATCCGGCACAACCTGTCGCTCCACACCCGTTTCATCCGCGTGCAGAACGAAGGCACAGGCAAGAGTTCGTGGTGGATGCTGAACCCTGAGGGCGGGAAGACCGGCAAGACCCCGCGGCGCAGGGCCGTGTCCATGGACAACGGGGCCAAGTTCCTGCGCATTAAAGGCAAGGCAAGCAAAAAGAAGCAACTACAAGCACCCGAGCGGAGCCCTGACGACAGCCCCCCGGGCGCACCAGCCCCGGGGCCTGTGCCTGCCGCGGCCAAGTGGGCCACCAGCCCAGCCTCGCATGCCAGCGACGACTACGAGGCGTGGGCCGACTTCCGTGGCGGCGGGAGACCCCTGCTCGGGGAGGCAGCCGAATTGGAGGACGATGAGGCCCTGGAGGCCCTGGCGCCGTCGTCGCCGCTCATGTACCCGAGCCCGGCGAGCGCGCTGTCGCCCGCGCTAGGCGCGCGCTGTCCGGGGGAAATGCCCCGCTTGGCGGAGCTGGGAGGCCGAATGGGCTTGCACGGCGGTGGCGCGGGGATGCCCGAGGCCCTGCTGGACGGCGCGCAGGACGCGTACGGGCCTCGGGCCCGCGCCGGTACCCCCGCCTACTTCGGGGGCTGCAAGGGCGGTGCCTACGGCGGGGGTGGAGGCTTCGGGCCGCCGGTGCTGGGCGCGTTGCGCCGCCTGCCCATGCAGACCATTCAGGAGAACAAGCAGGCCAGCTTCGCGCAGGCCGCCGCGTCCTTCCGCCCGGGGGCGCTGCCCGCGCTGCTGCCGCCGCCGCCGCCACCCGCGCCACGCCCCGGCCCGGTGCTGGGCGCGCCCGGGGAGCTGGCGTTGGCGGGCGCGGCCCCCGCCTATCCCGGCAAGGGCGCGGCCCCATACGCGCCGCCGGTGCCCTCGCGCAGTGCCTTAGCCCACCCCATCAGCCTTATGACGCTGCCCGGCGAGGCGGGCACCGCGGGGTTGGCGCCGCCCGGCCACGCAGCCTCCTTCGGGGGCCCGCCCGGTGGCCTCCTGCTGGAAGCACTTCCCGGGCCATACGCCACCGCTGCCGGGCCGCTGGGTGCCGCGCCAGACCGATTCCCGGCCGACCTGGACCTCGACATGTTCAGCGGCAGCCTCGAGTGCGACGTCGAGTCCATCATCCTCAACGACTTCATGGACAGCGATGAAATGGACTTCAACTTCGATTCGGCACTGCCTCCACCACCGCCCGGCCTGGCCGGGGCCCCGCCCCCCAACCAGAGCTGGGTACCTGGCTGAGGGGCCGCCTTCCGCGTCCCGGGTATCTGCCCCATCCCCAAGGGGCCTTTGTCTTCCCATCCTCATCCCCGGTTCCCACCCCCGTACCAGCTCCACAGAGGATCCAGGAGACAGCCCCAGCCCTGCTAGAGACATCCCTCAGAAGTTGGCTGCTGAGGGAAGTGGTCGGGAGGGGCTGGGACACCCCACATTCCTGCCCAGACTCCTGATAGCCGCTCCGCCTACTCCCGGGGCAGGAAGCCTGGGGGTGGAGGCTGAATTCCGGACTGGGTGGGAGTGGGGACGAGCGAGGTGGGCTGCGCTGGTCGGAGAAGCCAACCCGGGAGTCGGGCAAGGGCATCTGAATCTCTGTGTCTCTGAATCTTCGTGTCCTTTGTGGGGGGCTCTCGCGGTGGTGAATCGCCCACCCCAAACTAAGATCTGATTCCCAATTGACACTTTCCACTGGTTTTAGCCTCACCCACTGAAAGCCAGCAAACCCCTTCCCGAAAACACACACAGGCCTCCCTATTGGCTGTGCACCCTGGACTGTCCTCCTTTAGCCCTAAAACCTTCTGACCGTCCACCCTCATGGTTCAGCCCTCCCACCCTTGTCAATCCTAGCTTCTCCCCGCCCTCCCTCAGAGTCAGTCGGCCCCCCAGTCCCCACCACCTCCACTACCACCCACACGGGTCTCGGGTTCTCCTATGGGCCTCAGCTCCGGATCCACCCTCTAACCCCAAACTCCTTTCTCCTTCTCCGTGCCAGTCCTGGCTCCTCTCTCCCGTATTTATAAGTGTCGGGTCGGGCTGTGGGCGCGGCGTCCCCGGCACATATCGTAGGCTGTGTACCGTGGCCGTGCCGTCAGCGTGTGCGTGTGTGCCGTGTTGAGGCCGTGTAGAGTGCATTGTACAGCATATTTTCATGAATAAAATTGTTTTAAATATTTCCCGCGCCTTGGGCTAGCAGGGAGGGTGGTGGGGGAGGAGGAATGCTGGCAGGGATCCTGGGGGCGGGCGTTCCAGTGCCTGAGTCCCTATTGTGGTTTTGTGTCTGAGTGTGTGTCAGCGTTCCCTGATGTCTGTCTGCTCTACACACATTGGTTAAGTGCCTGCTGAGTTTTGGATGCTGGGGATGTGCCTGTGTGGAGCTCTGCACCTGTTTCTGTGAACATGTGCCTGCAGGAAGTTTCTGGCCTGGGGAAATTCTGTCCAGAATAACCCTCAGAGTTGGTAGAGAAGGCACAGATATTTACTGAGAACCTGTTAGTGTCAGGTTCTGTATTAGGTTCTGTACAGATGAGAAAACAGGGCCAGAAAGGGAACGTGGCCTGGGAAAGCTGGGTGGGGTAGAGGAAAGGAGGTCCCTGAAGGTACACAAATTTCTATTTGAATCCATCTATTTCCTGCTTGTGTGTTTTGTTTTGTTTTTTTAATCAGCTGTATGAATCTGGGCATGTTTTTATCCTCTGTAGCCTTTCCTGGTCTGGATCACAGGATAATACCACTCATTGGTTGCATGGATTTCTTATGGGGAGTAAATAAAAGGTATGTAAAGTGCTCAGCACAGGTTCTGCACCCACCCACTCACTCATTCATCTGGAAGACTTATTAAGCACCTATTGTGTGCCAGAGATTGTGTCAAGCATTGGGACTGCCTTAGAGAGCAACATAGGTACAGTCTCTACCCTTAAGGAATGTTGAGGCTTGAGGGGGACACGGATGAGTGAATAGGTGATTATAGATCAGAGCTATAATGAATGGAGGAACCAGGAGTCTGCTGTGGGAACAAATAAGGCAAGAACATTTATCCTGTGCTTGAGGAGTCAGGAAGGTGCCTGGTGGGGGAGGGGTGTTGTCTCAGGTGTTGAAGGATGAGTTGGTATTAGGAAGGGAAGAGCTTTGGGCAGAGGGAACAGCATGATCAGAGGCGCTGAGTCAAGAGGTCGTGTGGGTTCCAGATCAAAAAGGAGTTTAGTGTGACCAAAGTTCAGACATGGAAAGGTTAATGATGGTTGGGGGGCACATGGGTCAGGGGGGCAACGATGGAGGAGGATTAGTGGCCTGTGGTGCCTCAAATCAGGAGGGAGAGAGGACAGTGGGACTGTAGGGGGAAGGGGGAGTTCGCATATAGAATCATTGAGTGTAAAGTCATTGGGACTTTGTTGTGGATTGGACGTGGGGGATGAGGGAGAAGGAAGAGTCAAGTGATGCCTGGTTTTGGTTGGGCAGACAGGACCCTCCCCCGAGATGGGAGACTTCGAGGTAGGAGAAGCCCTGGAGATGATGGCGCACTTAGCCTCAGCCAGGCTCAATCTGAGTTAATGTCCTATGGGAACCCCTGGGATTTGGGAGGGATGTTCAGGAGCATATGTACTGTGTGAATGGCATTCCCTGGCTTGGGCACAATAGTGTCCTGGAGAGTATAGCTGGATAGTGGGGTCAGAAGCCTGGGAAAGCGTCTGGGCTGGAGAGGGAGGTCAGAGAATCAAGAACACAGGTCATGGAGGTGTTGGAAGTGGAGTGGGGGGTGGTGCAGAGTGGGAAGGACAAGCCACTCGGGTCTGCTCGGATGAACACCTCAGAGCGCCATGGCACAGGAAGAGGAACCGCTGGCTGAGAAGGAGCAGCTGCAGCGAGAGGAGGAAGAAAACCACAACACTGGGCTCCTAGAGTTTGTGAAAAGAGGGTGGTCCTAGAAAGAAATGCCCACTACACTCAGATCCTCATTTTATTGGTCTGGAAGATGGACCAGTAGCATCTGTCTCAGATTTGTTTTGAGGAGCAAATAAGATTGGGATTACTCTGAGGTTATACTACTGGCAAGGGGCAGAGCCAGGGTTCCTGCCTGGTCTGTGCACATCCAATGCCCTGGCTCTCCTTTGGCCCCTACTGCCTCTGGGGAGGTGGCTGTCAGAGCAGAGGAGCAAAGGAGCTTGGAGCCAGTGGGACCTGTGCGGGTTCCGGGCTCCACTGGGAGGCAAGACCCCACTGGGGTGTGGTAGGTGTCCTTGCTGGGTGGGAAGAACATTGAGGCTGACAGATCTTCCCCCAGGACAGATGCCCCAGCCCTACCCCACCACCAGACTCTGGGACAGCCCTGCTGGGTCTGGGCACCATATGGGCTACAAAGCTGCCCCCACCCTGGCTGACGGAGGGTGGGCTGCTGGTGTGTGTGTGTGTAGGTCTGTGTGTGTCCGTGTAGCCCCATATGCATCTGTCTGTGTGGGCCGGTGTATACGTGTGTATGTGTGTGTTGGGAATGACAGCGTCTCCATCCCTGAGTGTGCCCACATGTGCACCCGGGGCTGTGAAGTCCGTGCCTGTGTGAGCTGTGAGCTGTGTGTGCTGCATGCCTTCCTCTCTGGATGTGTCTGCGTGTCTTGGCGCAGACCTCTCTCCGGGGGCATCCGAGCTGGTGTTCCCCTGCCAGGAGCCGCCTACGGGCTGCTCCGCTGTGAGAGGGGAAGGGAGCAGAGGGACACTCCCCACCTGGGGATGGGCCAGGCTCCTGAGCAGGGAGCAGCGAGACCACCTCAAAGTAATGCCTGAGCTTTGCCTGGCTCAGGCCAGTGATAATTCAGAGAAGGCTTCTGTCCTGCTGGGCCCCATCAGAGGAAAGGGGGCAACACCCCTGCCTCTGGGGGTCTGCAATTGGCCCTTCCCTGCCAGCCGTGGAGCCCAGCAGACGCACCCCCCTCCATGCCTACTCCCTGGGAGGCGTCTGACACATGATTTATTCATAAAAAGCCATTATTTGTGCCAAAGAAGAACTGAGCTGCTCGCTTTTTAAGTGCTGATAATGCTCTCAGCCTCCTAGCCTCTCCTCCTCTCCCCTCCCCTCCCCTCCCCTCTTCTCTCTCCTCTTATCTTCTCTCTCTCACCTCCTTGGGACTTCCCATTCTTTCTCCTCCTCCCCTTTCTTCCCCCTTCCCTTCCTAATCTCCCTGTCTAGTCCTTTATTGTTCTCATACCTCCTTTCCTCCCGTTTTATTCTCTTCCCCTCTCACGCCACTCACCTCCTCCCCACAACTGCTCTGCAATTAGGGGTGTGGGGAAGGGTCACTGGAGACTCAAAACCAGTTGTCCCAGGCCAGGGGAGGCTTATACCAGCCTGGAGCCCAGTGGGCCCCACCCTGTACCTCAGACTTCCCCTCTTCAGGGCCAGGGGCAGTTTGGGAGGAGGGGAGCAGGCTGAGAAAGGCACAGGTCTTGGGAAGCTGTCACAGCCACCTCCCCCATGTTAAAGGGTATGACTTTAGCCTCCCATCATCAGCACCAGCTTCCCAAGTAATAGTTCATTTAAATAAAAACTGCATCCCTAAGCAAATGCAGGTTCAATGCAAAATCTCTAGGCCCCCTCATCCCTTCAAGTGTGTTCCCTAAGTGTCCCCATATAGAAATTCTGGAGCCACCATTGTTCAGGTGGTACCAGGAGAGGCTGGCTTCAAGGGAGGCACTCGGGGCCCCATCACAGGATGAGCACCGTTTCCAGACAGGAGGCAGCAGATGTGCGCGTGGACAAGGACACGCACAAGGTTCTTAGAAGCAGGCATCCCACATATTTCCCTTTGCACACCGGTTGCAATCCTAGGCGGGGGTGCCTGTGTGCCCGCCCACACGCAGGCATGCACACGGCCACAACACCTACTCATGCAGGTGCAGAGCCCTTCCTCCCCCGAGCACCTGCAGCGGGGGCTCCCACTCTTTTGCCATTCAGACACCTGTTAGGTCACTCATTCATTCATTTATCCTGCTTTTGCACCCCTTTTGTGCCAGCACTGGTGCTGAGCACGGGAGTAGCAGAAATGAACATGATTGGATCATGGGGAGTCAGGGACTGGAGCAGAGGGGGTACTGCAGGCCCTCCCCTCAGCTTTGAGCTGGGGGTTAGGTGACCAGCAGACAAGGGGTTAAGTCATTTGCCATCCAGAGCTGGAGCCATTAGGCCTCCTAATTATGAAATTATCGAGGTCCTCAGGTGACTGCTAATTTCACACACACTGTTCCTCTCACGGCTA